TCTTCTCTGAACTCTGGACCTGTTGAAACTTTTGCAAAACAATTAGAAATAAAAGAGCATTTGGAGTTCTCTTCGCAGCCCCATTGAGCTTTTTTCTTCAAATTAGCTTTGAAACTTCGCGAGTAAGTGTTATAAAGGATTGACCAGAGGAGCTGAGGCTGTTTCGTGGTTTGTGTTCAGAAGTTCGGTTTCAAAGCGAATGTGTTACATTTAACTCGTAACATTTTTTAGTTTCATTTGTTCCCTAGAAAGCCCAAGAAAAAATCTGACTTAAAATTTCTGAGTATAATGAAAAACTCTGTATTTTAAGATATAAAAAAAAAATTAGTCATCTTTTTATCGATGAATTCGAAAGGGTATTTTGTACTGTCTCTCTCGTAGAATGTTTTTGCAGTACGTGGATAATAGCGTGTTGCAATTGACGAAAGGTTTTATAACTCGACTTGTTGAAGGTAAACATTTTACAAAAGTTTTTTTTATTTGATAAAATTTAGCTTAAATTATTTTAAATAAGTCATTTATTTACAATTCAAGTCAATCCGCTGTCTTTCAAGCGCTATGTTACCCGTCTCTGAAAAGTCCCAAAAGTCCGAAGCCCTATAAGGACTAAGGAATGGTAATGCAGGATTAAGCTCAAAACTAGCTTCAAATTCTTGGTTACCTGATGTTTTATTGTTTTAATTTTAAAGCTTTAATATTCCGATCTTTTGTCTAATATAAAACGACAAACGAAAAATAGCTCTGCGGAACCAGGAACTACCAGGGCTATTGAGAAACGGGCCACTGGTCTGTTTTTGAGGCTTCTCCTTGCCTCTTTCATGTTGTTCTTCCCTCGCAACTTTTGTAACTTTAAGGTTTTATTCTATTTAATCCGTTGATCCCCTACGACTGGGCAGATCTTTAAACAAATTCTCCTAGTCAGCACCTTAGGAAATGTATGGCGAACAGTATGAGGAATATGCATACTATTGTTAGGATGTAAAGTGTTAAAGTTAGGTTTGCCACACCCGTGACCCACAAGAGTGAATGTTTTGTGTTGGTTCCCATTTCAAATGGAAACCCGTCTTTTCATACTGGTACATTGGCCGAGTACATCTTGGTAAAATTTGACGTTGAAAATGAAACGCGTTTCATCTGTAATCGACATACTCCTGAGAGTCTCCGCTTGTTCTATCAGCCTCCTCCACTAGAATAGCTGATAGTAGCATGTGATGTTTTTCATCGAAAGTTGCACATTTCTATCATTTTTTCCCTGCAGAATTCCAACAAGGTGAACGAGACGAGGAGGAGTTTGTCTTTCGAATCATTTGTCGCTTGAAGCATGTAAGTTGATTCCCTTTGATCAGGGAGCTAGCCTAACCACAGATTGTGTGTTTGGGAGAGAGACTGTGAAATGGAATTTCTGGAAATCTCAAGAAAGCATAGTGACGTTCTAGAATACGTAATCAATTAATTTACGAACCCAGTCACCCTCTAGGGTTGGTTGTTGTAGTCGGTAGAGACCGAACTTTTGGAGAAGCTTAAATGGGCGGGAAGTTTGTTTACAGTCAAGGGTTTCGGGAGTAATTTGGAGATAAGCATCTTTTTCTTTTAGTTTGTGCCAGTGTTGGTTTAGGGTCAAGTCTGCTTTAGTTGGCTTTGTTTACATTAAACTGCAATGTGTAAGAGTCGCTTTTTAGTAAAAGTTACTTCACAATCAAATTCATTGGTTGTATACGATTTTTATATGCATTTTCTTGTCGGTGTAACGATTTTACCGAAACACGCAAATGTTGAAATATGCGTAGTACTCTTTACCTCACTGAGCTAGCTATTTGGAAATAGTTTCGTTTGATTTGCCAGTAGTCTTCTTGATTTAGTCGATAAAAATCTACTGTTTTTTCTTAGACTCTTGCTAAAGAGGCCTTACTGCGCTGGGATCATCCTTTTAAAGCCAGGTGAGGCGCGATGCCATTCACGCCCAAAGTACATTTGTGTATGAAACACGTCCCTCACAATATGATTCTCTCCGCCAAGTAGTAGCTTTGTGGTTTGTGAGTAGTTTATACGAAAACATGTTCTACTGTAAGACAGTAAGACACGTTTCCTTAATAAAGTTTTATTTGATTACCTCGGTTTGTTATTTTACCTCTTGTCTCTCTCTCTCTCTCTATTAGGTTATATTCTCAGAGGCTCGTGGAGGACTTGTTAAACAAAGACTCGTCAGGAGGTATGGTCCAACGGCGTTTTTCTGAATCGATTTCAACCAACATTCCCTCAATCGTTCGATACTTCAGTCCTTTATTCCTTTATTTATTCTCATAAAGGCCGAGAAAATTCGGAAGGTCATCATACCGGCAGAGGAAATAGCCTTCTTAGTGGGTTTACACTCGTGGATGCCGGTAGGTAACTCTGTTCTATGAAAATTGTAAACGAAATTAATTTTCTAGCGCATGTTTCTCATCAAGGGTCGATGCTCTTTACTTTCAAAGTCAAGGGCAAGAAGGGCAGTCGCTGTCCGTTCATATCAAGTGTCATCAGAAGCTTATAACTGTCTTGTGTCACCCACCGTCCTGGCCTATATATCAAATAGACGTTGACCAGAATCGAATGTTCGTCCCGTGTTCTGTCGAAGATTGATATGAGCTTCTGACTCAGTGCCCCACATTCCATCCTCCTCATCTTCATTCTCGATTGATTGTCAAGCTTTATCTGTGTGATGTTGCTTGTAATTTGGAGTCATTGACTGATTAGTTACTCAAACCGGTTGTGACGTGGTGACACCTAGGCGTTTTACGGCGCCAACAACTGAGTCTGACTATCAACTATTTTCTTTGCCTTTTCAATTACAGTTGTTTTTTTACCAACACTCCATCGAAAACTTCCTCTTCTCGCCTGAAGCCGTTACGGCAATACATTTATTGGGTGTTGAGGTAGATTCTTCTTAAAGTCTCTCTTTTCACTACCTCCAGATTCCGATTCAGAAAGTTTCTTACCTTTGACAAATCTGATGAACACTCTGAGAAATAGCGGTAAGACTTAAGGCATTTGATATTATTTCACGCAGAGGGGCATATTACAGCTAGTGACACAGCGGTTGGAACGACTGCATTTCCAATCTTTCCAAAGCGTTGTTGTTTAAAATTTCGTAAAACGTGTTTTAGGGACATAAAGTCCCCAATTTTCAATAAATTATTGTTTGGATTGCTCGTTCCCTCTTTTGTGCGCTACTTAACGAATAAATTCCACGTTGCTGTGCGTCTGTCCAGTGATAGATTACAGATAACGTCAAAATTATGGTAGGAACAAAAACATGGCAAATGAGGCACAGCCAAGTGTGTGACTGTGATGTTGTGTATGATGATGATATTATCATGGTGATTGTTATTTTTATTGTCATTTTCATTCTAGTTTTAGCTGGGGTTAACAGACAAACTGTGACCTCGGTTGATCTTGACTACGTTGAGGAGCAAGCGCTACTGGAAACACAACGGGAAATAGTCGGGAGCTTGGGAACGATACCGTTTTAAGACAAGAGACGCCACGTGTGTAGGATGAAGACACCTCGGAGGAAAAACGTTCACTGGAGAGAATTTCAAGGATTAGGAGGGTATTTAAAGCTGCAGTTTCACCTCGCAGATAAGAAGCTTTGTTTGGTCAATTACTGTTTTATTGGAATCATATCGGCCGAAAGCTTGGATAGAAATATTTTTTCTCTTATCCCCCTTACCATACGTTAAAATCCTTAGATCAGTGAAAGATATTGTGAAACAAGAGTATAGGAAATAATGAAAGCTGATAAACGAGAAGGTCCGATTAGAAAATTGATAGCCTGTAGTGCAGGCGTCTTGTTAGTGCGAGCTAACGCTAAAAGTGGACGGTGGGGGTAGGGGGCGGGGGAGAAAAGACGGTGTAATCTTCACTCCCCTACCCCACCCCTCTCCTTATTCTTGACCGTCGACCGCCCCCTCGGTATAAATTTTTACTCTCCCCAGCCTTCCGCTGCCATTAAAATCAAAGATGGCAGCCATAATATTCGTTATCAAATTACTTGGCACTCGTTGGCAAAAATTACGCCTGCTCCACAGGCGAGAAAATTGAGCGCTTGCATGAGAAAATTTTTGAGTTAATATGATTATTTTGTCAAGAGTGTTATTCTTAAATTGAGTCATTGTTGGGATGCCACTCACAAAAGAAAATGTATCATGATTTCCTTCCTTATCCATTGTTTTGTTTGCCTACTTATACGATGAATGGTTGCTCCAACAAGAAATGGAAAAACAACAACGTGTTCACATAGTGAACCAAACACATACCTCGCTCGCCACAGTAACAATTGCTCAGTGCGCTGATACATATTTTTGTCAAGGAAATGAGATAACGTAAAATTTTGACTGGTTATTTTCCAGTATGCGCGGGGTTGTGAAATTGAAAATGTGGAAAACTGTGATGGGGAAAAGAGAAATCAATTGTGCTTTATATAAGAATTCGAACTTGATTTAAAATCGAATCACAGCTACCAGTTTGCAAAGACAGAAGGGATTTGGGATTTATTAAGCCCTTTTAACCCTATTGGGTTGGGGTTAAACGAATTCTCCATTTCAGCACGAAAGGGGAAGACTTATGGAGAATATGGACACTGATGTTAGGGTAAAAAGGTTTTCGTGAGAAGAGAAACGAATAGAGTGCTTAGTTTACTTATATGAAATGGAATAAAATTTATTGGCTATTGTAAAAGTATGTACAGAATTATGAAATTTAAATGTTTCATAAATTTATATAAAATTATTGATTGAGTTTGTATCAGTCTTAGCCATGACTTTGGTTGAATGGTATTTAGAGCAGTATTTATGCTTGAACAAAAGTAGGATTAAAATTTTTTTTTCTGAGAAAAACGAGTATGTCAACAATAAATTGGTTTCACAATGATTTGTGGTACTCTTGAAACATTGGCTGACGTTTTCACAGAAATGTAAAGATACTGATCGAAAATGAAAACGTTGAGAGTGACAAATCCGTCGAATATCAAGTTACATAAGTATTAATTATTACTTGGTGCGAAACCTTATTTCCCTTTTTAAAAGGAATACAAATACCCTCGTTATCAGCTCTTTGATGTACACGAACTTTCTTATCTTCTAAGATAACTTTCAGCTCAATTTTGACCATTCGTAGCTGCATATTATATTTAGATCGCTACATCTCATTGACACACAATCCTTTAGTTGTCTTTAGGCAAGGAAGGTATCGGAGAAACGTTTGCACGAACGTTTTTTGAGGTGCTTCTTCACTTAAGACGTTTTTGCTTTCTTGGCAAGAAAGGGTTTCTCGACATTTTTTACCGTAATCCTGCCTAGCGCTTAAGAAAATATAAGCAAAGAATGAAAAGTGTTTTTTTTTTTTAAAATCGGTGATTCATGACAGTTTTTATGCTAATCCACTGCACTTTTTAAATCTATTAATTCGCTGTGGAGGGCTGGTTCATGGGGGAAAAAAAAAAAAAAAAAAATGTCCGCCCGGTTTTTTTATATCTTTGTCTAGCCAATTACAAATACATTTGCTGTTTATCCCAGCGGGAAACTTCATTAGCGCTGCTAACAAAGCTTTCGTAAAACTCAGTTCAGTAGATGTTTAGCATAAACAACATGTAGTGGATAAAAGGTGATCTCTAAAGACCGCAAATTATCGCCAATTTGGGAATGTTCCTTAGAAACGAATAGCCAGTAGCTAGCAAAATATTTGTCAGCGATCTCGATCGGAAAGATTTGTAATAAAAGCGTGTTTACCTTGATGATACGATCACAAAACCACAGTAAGCTCAGAGAAATAATTAAAAAAAATTTGCAGTGAAACGAAAGCGCTTTTAGCTGTAGTGCTTGGAAGTGATGTTTTTGCTGGATAAATCTGGGACAACTGTAAGTATATAGTTTAAAATTTATTGAACAACTTTTGAACCTTTCCCAATGGTTAAAACTTTAAAGACTATCATAAGGCTGGCATGATGAACGAAGGCTGGCATGATGAACGAAGCCTATAAACTGTTATGGATGTCGCTAGGTGCAAACTTTCACAAACAATTTTCGACGAAATCGTTCAGATATTCTCCTCACGTTTGGAAGACCAAAATCCAAGAATTATGAGGAATGGAAAGAGAAGGGTCTCGAGTGTCTATCTTTTACAATTGAAAGTAAATTCTTTTAGTTAATCCAACTCCCTTCTATACCTCAAAGCCGACTTCAATACAGCGCTGCGTGAATACTTTTAATTGGTTTACCGGCATCTTTTTTCTAAGAGGGATATCGACAGACCAAGATAAACTCATATTTGTTTGTTATTCCACAATACTCAAATCGGATTACTTGGCTGGTGAATCAATAGAAATTGTTGTCTTTGGCTTTTTACAACAAATGTAATTAGTACTTACACTCTTTCCTACAGGGTGCAAATTAATTCGGGCGGGCAAAGTATCTTTGTATCTTTGAATTGCGTCGGTCAAAGATGCGTTTTTGATTTAGGGTTAAATTTCTTATTCTTATGAAGATGCTGGATTGTTTTGCCCATCCTAGAGTCAGGCGAAACTGAAACATTCACTTAAATGTGTCGCGCAATCGAGTTCTACTACCTTCATCAACGGTTTTTTTTACCTAATTTAATGGATTGGGTGGCTCGAAGTGCAATTACGAACAACCACGAATATTTTTTACTTTTATCATAATTAACTCTTTCTAAACCAAGGTTTAAAATTAAAGCGATTTGAGGGTTCGAATAACTAAATCGTCTTTAGTCTCGAGGAATTCTGCCTGATCCCGTGCTTAATTCCGATAAAATTAAGAGTGTGTTTGCTGGACGTCGTGAAATCTTGTTCATTCAAGTCTTCTTCTTTCAGTTTAAGTCTCCATGGTTATTCGTGTCGTCTAAAATCTCTTTGGGTGTCGAGACTCTTGGTTCGCCATTACCTACTTTCCTCCCCTCTTCTCCCCTGTCAGGTCGTCCCCAGTCAGTTCCCCCTACGGTACAACCTCGTTCCTAGTGACCACTCCTACTCTCCCCTCTCAGGGGGACGAGTTGTACAAAACCCTGGTTATTATGAAAAGACTTCCTCAGATACCATAATAGCATAATGATATACAGATTTTGTAAATCGTCAGGAATTCGAAGCATATAGCTATAGGTCACTTGTTGTGATGGGGAAAGTAAGACAATAAGGAATAAAGAACGAATTAACTCGGCTATGAAAACTTCGTGTCCTAATATGCAAAACTTCCTAACTTAGTAAGGCCATCGCAAATTTCTATTTCGAAAATTTTAAACTGCTCAGTACAGTCTGGCCAAAATTCCCCACAAAGTGTTGTAAGGAGCATGAAAGCATATTCATATGGAGAATACAATATAAATGCATCATTATCATAATCAAAAACAGCTGGGCTAAAGTAAGCTCAATATTAGATCATTAAGTGTGCTTCCGGTGACTCTGGGTTAGGAGACCTTCTTTTCACACTGACGCACACACGGTCCTGACTTCCATTGTTGCCAGATGGTGTACTTCCGAACCCGCCCAAGATTATTTTGAATAACACACTATTTCCTGTGAACATACACTACCCACTGAGTTGTACGTGTTTACATCTATTTTAAGTTTTGTTATGACTTTTTCAATCGTTGTTCATCATTCTTTAGTTAGAAGATCGGAAGGAAGTGTCACAGGCGGCCCAGGAGGCGAAACTAGATAGAGAACTGCGCCGTTTTGAAGATGAGTTGGAATTGTTTTTAATTGATAAAGATCACTTTTTGGAAGATCTCTACCGCCGATTAAAACAAATTGCTTCTCTCTGGAAATCATGGAGATGTCAGAGATTGCGTGATATTTCTGTAACGCAACTCGTGTCCGCAAAACAGGTAAACAACTTTGAATGGGTAGGTGCTTGTCACATTTGAAGCTAGTTTAAGGCTTGACACTTGGCAAAGCATGAAACCGCGAATTTGAAATTTTTAGGGGATAGAATCTTCCAGAGAGGCTCAGGCAATTATTCGTAACGCGCTCAATTCCTTTTACTTAAGTTTATTGCTTCACACTACATTTCATGGTAAGTGTGCCACTAACGGGTTCTTTATCCCTTTTATCTGTAGATTGAAGATCTTATTCACTGGGAACAAAACCTCCCTGGGAAGAAGAAGACTATAACAAAAATAGAAAAACCAACAGATATGCTGATCAGATTCCTTCAAGCTTGTCTCGAATCCAGACAGCTTTACGAACAATTCCTCCTCTCAATTTACAAACCTCTTCACCTGTTCTTTAGTGATGACAAAGCTGCCCCTTTTTCCGAGGCATTGGGTCGAGTTCTCGAGAAGTGGAGTTACCTACTCGAACCAGGCCCCATAGATCACAGACTACTGAGTGCAGAGAGTTCCGAAGCAGTCCACAACATGAACTTGTCAAAGAAACCACGTGACACAAATTTCAACCTTATTCTGCGGCTAGTGCCGGACTTCGCCGTAAAAGGCTTCGAAGCTCTTTACCTTGCGCGACAGTGGAGAGCTCTTTTAGGTTACTCGGGTTACAGTAGAGAATTGAAATTCATTCAAATCCGGAGACAGCGTCGATCAAGAGAGCACATCAGTAGTGAGCCCGCAAATATTCCCGTTCCTTTCAGCATATTTCATAATTTGGAAAGAAAACTTAACCAATCGAAAGATCGATACAAAACAGTGGACCCAAGAAATCACGTTACAAAAGCTGTACTCCACCACGAAACTCACACCAACACGAATTATGGCGTGCAAGGAACATTTGCAAGATCCACCAATGACGACACGAAATTCACTTCATTTACTCGCGAGTCTAACGAACAGCGAATCCACCGTTTGCAGACAGATCTGAAACGTGAACAACTACAAGTGCAGAGGCTTAGAAACGAACTTCTTCACGTTGAAATTGCGTCGCGCTACATGAGGGAACCGCCAATGCTAAGACCACTGTTTGACACTCTGGCTTCTACCAAGGGAAAGTGCCGCATGTTAAGAAATGAGATTTCAAAACAGGCTTGCCAGCCCGATTGTGCTTTTGACAAAATCCCTGACTCCAGAGGTTTGATCCAATCTAGTAAGGACTCTTTCACGTCAGAAAGGAAAAGGTTAGCCTCCAGGGCTCTTTTGACCTCTTGGCATCGCGCGCAAACCACTTAGAAACAACTTGTGATCTGAAAATACGTTTAAAAAAACACACACACAAGTGGGAAACAGAGAACCTAAAGGCGTTTGCAGGAAGAAGTCTATTCTCCTCACTCAATTTATCACAATTTATCAAATGTATTTGAGGGGTGTGAAGTGTGAGAGGGCAATACTACTCTAATCTCTTGTGCAGAAGCAAGTGAGTCAGGAGTATTCAGTATATTAAAAGCTTTTTGATCAGAATGTATATTTGCCTCCGACCCTAAATGTTTGATACTAGCATATCGACCACTCCATCTCGTCAGCTGAGAAAACACTACAACATTTAGTTAAAAACAAATTTTTAAATTTGTTTTCGATAAAAATCTGATGAAAGATTTCGATTTTTGGATCTATATAGGATAGAGTTAATTACATGAGGCTCCAGTACTTGGAATTCATCATACACCGACTCTAGATCTGTGTTGGATAGTTAGTTATGGACGCAATTACGAAAACTTCATTTTTTCCAAGTCACTTTAAAACTGGCAGCCCCTGATCTTAGTTTTAGTTTGATCGTTGATCCATGATAAATAGATCATGCCAACTGATCGTGCGAAGAGCTTTCCCATTGAAAACAGACCCAAGCCTCCGTCTCATTATTCACAAAGTATGATTTAGGAGTAAATTGACTCGGGCGTCAAGCTTTTCTTTGATTTACAATGTGTCCGCCTTTGTAAATGAGCGGATTTGGGTGCTAAGTCTGTTGATCTGACCGGGTAATTAGCAAAGGACTCCCTACTGGTTAAAGAAATCTAAAAGATGAGTTCCGGCGAGGCGAGGCACAGTTGCTGACGATCCCGTATACAAATCAAGTGGAAAAATAAACGCTTTTCCAGACAAGCAGAAAAATGGGTGTGTTTATATTTTATTGATTTGCAAGTTTATTAGCTGTATTCCGTAAAAAAAGGGGAATAAACACACTTTGCAAATTTCTGAGAGATAACTCCGAAAACTTAAGTCGTGGAAAGAGTAAATGCTACTTAAGATGTAAAGTCTTAGAGACCTCATACAAATGAATACGGTAAATGCATCTTGCTATTCGCAAACGTTTTGAGACAAAGACAACAAAATATATTTTATTCAATTGCCATTCCCTTAGGCGTCGGCGAGACAACTTAAGCTCCCTGGTTTTCACATTCTGTTCCCACGTACGAAAAAAACAACATCAACAAAGAGGCATTGTTACCATTGACAACGTTTTTTTTTGTGTAATATACATAGCAAATTTTACTCAGACTATTTTGTTGGTTCAATCCAGCGGAGCATCGCATGAGAGCAACCATTATTCAACATATAAACAAGTTCCTACTTTTGTAGATGTGATGTGATGTAGGCGAGCAAATGCACACTTTTTCCAAGCAAATAAATGTGTGGCTGTCAATTTCGATTTTCGAAGCATAGGAAGGTTTGAGAAAAAATAAAGCTCTCAATGCGAGAGTAGAAAGGGAGAAAAGAGAGGGAAAAGTTTGTTTCCTACTTTTCCATAATCTTCCCTTCCTACTTTCACGCTTATATTAAAATCAAACATGGCGACCGGCTAAACCTGACTATCATAAGTGTTAGTGTAAAACGCTCATGAGATGCCTGCAAACCACGATCTTGCATGGGACTAACACATGACGTGAGGGAAACAAGACGCCGTTGTGGAACCAGAAGGACTCTAACAAGGTAAAATATAATTGTAAGGCTAAAAAGATTTGTCTGCAATCGTAATGTGTTTACATCTACTTCCTTCCTAGTCATCTAACATACAGATTGGCATAGGCAAGTAAAAGTTTTATCTGCAGAGGTAAATGAAACATTTGTATACCTTGTGGTATTTAGCCTAAATTAAGGTTAGTTCATTTGAAAGTATAAAAGCGTGGCAAGCTTTTCATTAGGTAAGAAAAAAAATTCATCTGGCACATTGTTTTTCGTCGGAATCGCGTGTATTAGATTAAAGAGCAAGTAAGCTCGAATTCGATGTTTTGTGGGCCTGTTTCATTTTCGATCCCTCTGCCGACAAAAACAACAGCAATGACAACCTGGCTTCATTGCCATTTACAACAAATTCTTTGTTTAGCATAAATAGGAATTTTACGCCGACTGTATTGTTAATCTAATCGAGCAAAACATCGGATGATGGCAGCCAAGATCGAGTTTATGGACTGGCTCGTATTTAGGCCATCATGTTTCCTGATGATATTGCTCAGAACCCCGATCGTTTTATCTCATGATCATTCTGACGTTCGGTACGGTAAAAAGCTGTTGTTTCTTCTTGGCATTATCATTACATAAGAAAACAATGCAAAGGTACTTTAAATAAAGCTCGTAAACAACATATTTCAAGCAATTAGTTAGCCGGAGCATGTAATAATAAGGTTCTCAGAAAATCGAGATCAAGAATGAAAAAAACCGGAGATAACGACAAATCTTGTTTGTGCACATCCGTCCCTAAACTGTCGAAAACTGCAAACGAAAAAACCTTGTTCATTATTCCATCAAGCTAAGACGTCACTAGGTTAACCTGTGACGTTAGAAGAAAGTTAAAATAGTACATTGACTCAAGACGTGCGGACAGGCCGGGGCGAGGAGGTAATTTACGAGAAGATCGAAATCATATTATCTGAACTTGAAATACACTGTAAATAGAATTATTTATTGGCGTCTAGTATGATGTTACCCGCCCCTGATTATAGCACCTCTCCTGAATAATAACGTCGGGTCTTGCAGAACGGTAAACAACAGGACAAAGCACCTCTTTTCATTAGAGTTGGAAGTCCGCAAGCTCGACTACACCTCTGCAAAGTGCTTCCTTCATTGTTCCCTCCATTGACTGACCTCCACAGGATCTATACCAGGTATGTTTTAATCGGGCCGTTGTGCCCGAACAAAATTTAACATATTTCAGAACCATTTATTGTTTTTTTTTATGTCTTGCCTTTTACGTCATCCTCAGTACACTGTCTGAGAGTAACTACCAGTTTATGTCTGCGTAAAGTCTACGCCAACGCAGAACGGCACAAGAACATAAAAACCCTGATTTTGCTCTTCATCGATCTTAGAGAAAAGCAGATATGATTACCTCAGCCGAAACTTGAGACTTTTAGGTCCAATTCTTTATTACTGAGTTACAAAGGTCCAGTTGATCGACTCTTCCATATAATAGGCTCAAATACGAAAATTTTGTCCATGGTATTGTGATCAGCACTGTCGAAATTGTATAGTATTGGAACAGACGCGAGGGAGTGAATTTTTTTTCTTAACTCCCACGCTAGCGAAAAACGGAAAAGCATTTTTCTTTAGGCCACAATCTGAACTAGTACTAATGAATCTTTCTAAATCAATTTTGAATATAATCGAGATCTTCACAATAGACATACAAGTCTCTACAAAGAGTCAACAAACGGTTAAAGGAAAGCGGCATTTTGCCAATAGCCAGTTATGTTCTGCTTACACTCTCTTTGGTGACTCATAAAAAAACGTTACAGAAAAACCCGCCTCTAGGTTGCTAAAAAGTCGGTAATAATGTTTTAGAGGGGCTTAGACATATTAGCTTGTGATAATTTAGTCTTTAATCGCATCACGAGTGTGCGTGCAAAACATCATAGCTTTTGGTCCATCACGATATTTACGTCTCGTTTCTAAGCTGACCCGGTAGACTTCAAACATTCTCCATCCGAGAGTTACTACCGCGATTTAAAGAAGAAAGTCAATTGGAAATGATGCAGATTGGTCACGTTCATAGGAAAAAGAATCGCACCTTTTAAGAAGATCACGAGTTTTTTTTCTTACAAAACATGTCTAGATGCACGTTTCTTTCATTCCATGCCCTATATATTCGATGTGAGACAGATCTAATGTGGAGACATACACGTCGAAGTGAAAAACTTCGAAGCTATGTTTTGCACAACAAAAAATCTGTTCTTCTTTCTTTCTTTCTTTCGTCCTTTTTTTCATGTATAGCAAAATTCTTTTAATATAGGGTCGGGAACTTTCAATACAAAACTGAAATTAACATGTATCTGATACTATAAAAGGATTCATGAATTTCACCAAAAAGTGTTAATGGCATTTTTTCGACCTATATTAAGCCCCGAGAAGTACTCATTTATATTTAACGGGGAGTATAGCGAGACCCCATGTTCTTGTTTTATGATGATGATGATGCCTTAAAAGCGGTTAGCTTTAAATCTAGAACAGTTGTTGTTTATGAACAAAGTTGAAATTACTCCACATTCAAATGTTGCCATTTAGAAAAATGTACCCTCAAGAATACTCTTACCTGCTGATTTTCATCAGAGTCTTAACTCACACATCCTGAGCGATTATTATCATTCCAAATCACAAATTTAGACAAAGGTACAATGCTTCTCCCCTGCCTTATTATTAAGAAGCCTCTGTCTGAGAAAGGAAGGCCATGATCACCAACCTACTAAAGTATCTTTTAAGACAACATCGATGCAGACTTAACACAATAAAGTATTCAGAGCAGGGAAAATAAGCCACAACTTGACGTCTTATGTTCCTTACAGACTGGTCATTTAAGATAATTTCCCTTTTTTCAAAAGCTTTTGCTAAGCTCGTAAATAGACATGAAGAGTTCAGGAAGGAAGTGCTCAGGGGCAATGGAGAAGGAGAGTGAATTTTCGAATTTTATTTGTTTTGGTTTCTTAGGAATTTTCAACCTAACGAACTTGTTTCTTACATGATTCTATGACTGTAAATTTAAGGGACGGTGATCTCGTTTTCTTCCGAACGAAATGACTATTGAAATGCCAGTAATACTTTTAATGGACACATCAGACCTACAAGGTCTCCATGACTGTCTTGTAAAGTGGATAATAGTTTGACGGCCCTAAATTTGCTTAATTAAAAAAATTAAATTATATGTTTTCTATTATTCAGGTCGTTATTTAAGTTAATAATGACTTGCATGCCGGTTTGATGCCTTCCATAAACAAAACCGCCGGCGGTAAGGTCGGCAAAATTAAAGGCAGGTCTTCCTAATTAACAGCCTAACTTCAACGAAGATTCTAACTTAATTAGACGGGCTAGTATTACACCGGAGGGTTTGCATAGAGCTCGCCTATTCCGTCACTAAACTGAAAAGTGTACCAACACTTGTGTAATTTCCCACGCTGCGCACTCGATCTTTTAGAAAAATATTGGGATTTACAACGAAGTCGTAAACATAAACCGCGATGCGAGAACGAGATCGCCCTTGACTGTTTCACGAATATCCCGATTTCTTTCTCATGACCTCAGGATCCTTCAGAGATTTTGAATTAAGTTAATTTATCCACTTAGGCCCTACGGCGCCACCATCTTATGCTCTGAGTATTTTGTTGATCATGGGTTCGGTCTGCACGGGGAGGTCTCACGTGTTTTTTAAGAGGATAAATTTTGGTTTGTATTTTGTTTGTTTGTTTTGTTGTAATTGTTGGACTTGTTATAGTGAAAGTCACGGATCTCAAATATGAGAGAAAATGTGCTTATAATAATATTGTTAAAATTGTATCCTTATCGGCAACAACACTTAATAATAAATAGGCAGAAAACATGTCGCCACCGATCACACAAAGAATTATGAAAATGTATGTTTGGTCACTTGCCCGATTTTTTGTTGTTGATCGTACCAGTAACATAGGACATCATTGTGGCACAGGGATAGTGAGAAGCCTTTTTCGGGCGAGTGAGGTGGTGGTAATTTATCCGTGGACGAAGGAGGAGCGAAAATATAGAGCTTTCAGCATCTTGTTAGGAGGGAGTGGCTCAAGATACACGTTAACCTCTAAATGTTACACAAAAAACTCTTTAATTTAAGTATTTCCTGTGTTTGATTGTTCCCTCGAAAGCGGCATTTCATCGCGTTTATATGCAGTACTCATTGCCAATTTTTGCGACTGGTTAGGGTGCGATGATCAAATTCCTCTCTCCACTGCCCACAGTTCTCTCAGAACAGATCCTACGCAAATATTTAAAACAAACTTCTTTTATACGGGAGGAATGTTTGATATTCAAAGTCGAAAAAGGGATTTAAAAACCTTACATAAAGCTAAGCTGATAATATGTTAATTGCTTTTAATCTTTAGGCCAAGTAACTTCGACTTATCGCTGATCTTGGCCGCAAGAATAAGACAGATCGCAAAATATGGTGTGGTCGACAGTTTCTGATGCTAGAACTTTCGCTTTACCCGGAAGAAGTTGACATATTTTTCCAATAATCTCAGACGCTGTGGCGTAAATACTTGTATTTCTTCTTCAGTCTTTGAAAAACACCAGTAACGTTCGAACCAAGCAATGATAAAAACAGACAAAAAAAACCGATTTGATTCTGATCGTTGCGCACGCAGTAATATCTAAGCAAATAAGAAGGGAAAGTTTACTTCGCATTGATCGATAATTTGGCCGTTTCTGGAAAATTACGATTATCTGTTCAAACAATTGCGAAAATGCGGAATCAGCTTAAGGCAAATTAACAATCGCATTGCTGCTAACATCAGTTTGTACATGGGATTATTTCCCAGGATTTCCTCTGTTTGTTGTTTTCAGAAAAGAGTTTGTTCGATCAGAAATTGAAATTTGGCATCTTTTCACTTATGCTAAGTTCTTTTACGAGTTAATCCGTTTTTCAAGCATTCAAAAAGGTTACTGCGTGTTGTGCCCGAGTCAGGCTGTTCCTGAACGTTATAATCGAACAACATCCGTGATCATCACAAAAAGTACGACGTTCTTTGTCGGTAAACAGTTCCGAGTCCGCTTGTAAAAATACCACGTAATACTCAATACAGACTAAGCTAATTACAGTTCCCCTGCTTATACGATGGTAATCAAGAATAATATTTAGGCATCATACCATTTAGCACGATACGCAAAGCAGGAACTCATCAATTGCCGATATAAGCGGATTGAGAAAGCTGCCCATCGGTTAAATCTCTACGTAAGCCAGAAGATTTGCCTACCTCTGTGTGTGTTGCTCTAATCACCAGCTGACGTTTTGTGGAGAATTAAATTCGTAAGTGACGATTTTCTGGTTTAATCCTGAAAAAGTATCTTAGCTCCACCCAGGTCAAAATCTCTTTATTTTCTCGACCTAACCTACCATTAAAGAGATCTTCCAGACCGGGTGAACAATTCATAAATCTCTTGGAGCTTCAACTGTCAGGCGGACAATATCGTTAATACTTTGATTCTTCTTGATTACTGAGAATATTGCCTGCTAGAGTTCATCTCAGGGGAAGAGAGACTGCAAGAGATTAAGAAAGGTAATGATTTAGAGAGACTTTTATTCAGTGCTAGAAATTTTAATAGCGATATATATCAGCTTAGACAGGAACTTTCTAGTGAACGTAAATGATATTCACCTATTTCATACCATTTACTTATCCTCCTAACCTTTCCCGCCCGACGGTTTAACAATTTTGTGCTTTGTGACAATTCGCATCATTCTATCAACGCTCTCTCGACAACAGCGGTAATCGAAGATTAATTAGATGGACGTGCTCATGAGCTGGAATTGGCTGAGATAAATCAAATGACACTAACGGCATTTTGCTCCCCAAAAACTGCACAACCGATGAACCTATAAGCGCGCGAACAAAGATTAACTTTATTTTAACTGTGACAGCCCTGCAAACACATCTCTCTTTTGATCAATTACCGGCAAGGAATTGACGATATGATTTTACTGAGGGGGTAATCTGTTGATTCTAGCCACTAAACTGTGTTGGCAAATCGAAAAGCAAGCCCAGATTAGATTACCGAAGCATTTGCGATGATAAATTCCAAGTGGGCAAAAGTAATTTGTCAAGGTCAACATTTTTTGCAACTTATCACGAAATAAGAATTGTCGAAAAGT